TATGAGCGATTTGTCAAATGGGACGTTGACCGGCGTTTCTCGATCCTAACAGTCAGCCATTCTTAAGAACAAGGTGTCAAAAAATGACCAGGAAAGCATGGACAAACATCCTGAGAATTTGAAACCTGAGAATGAAGACCTGAGGAAACAGTGTGATGCACTTGTGAGGAAGCTGGAAGAAAAAGAACTGGAAATGGCCAACCTGAAAAGACAACTAAAGGATGTTATGGAAAAGAACAAAAGCTGGAAGTCCAACTGAGCCAACTTAGGTCTCAACTTGGTCAAATTCAGTTCACCTATGCCAAGCTTATTCATTATCCAGAAAATATTTTTTACATGATAGGTGTAACAGCAACAGAGTTTGATTGTTTGAGGCTATCGAGCCATTTGTACACATCATGGTTTATCCTGACTGTAAAGGAAGTGGAATGGAAACAAAGAGTAGGAAATTGGATTTAAAAACTGATATGCTCTGCTTTTTTGCAATCTGCAGACATAGCCTTCACCTAGGAGTAGTTTCATGGATGACTGCACCAAGTACTTCAACTGTATCTAGAAACTTTTGTGCTTGGGCAGTATTTCTGTCTTCACTGTTCGAATGCCTGGAATTGAAACCTCTCCCAGGATTTGTTGAGGAGTTCCTACCAAGGGAATTCATAGAGGCTGGGTATGCAGACACCGACGCACTTGGAGATGCCACCAAGACATGGATCGGTCAGTCAGAGAACTTTGACATTAATAATATATTATTCAGTTCATACAAGAACCACACAACAGGGAAAACATCTGTCTGAATTTTTCCTCACAGGGGATGACTTCAGTGCACCGAGACATACCCTGGAACTATATCTGACAATGATATAACTGATCAATGTGGGGTTTTAAGCAAAATACATATGGGAAAAGTTGTCTTAACCGATAAGGGTTTTAATATTTCAGACTTGTGCCACTCCATAGGAATTCTACATAACCGGCCTCTGCTTAAATTTTCAGAACAGTATGAAGAAACAGAAATTAGCAACAATTTTGATATTGCAACACTAAGGATTTATAATGACAACTATATCGCACATATAAGGGATTGAACCATTTTGAATGCATGCTGGCCTCTCAACCGTATAGATCTCCTTGGACACTGTTTCAAAATTTTTGCTCATATTGTGAACTTGTTGACGAGCCCAGTTGGTCCAAAGAATGAATAATTAAAACTAATAAGAAGCTGCAAATAAGTGTTCACTATTCATAAACCCAGGTGGAATCCCGTATGTGGGCTATGCGAGAACATGCTACTGGTCAGGAAATGGTTTTTCTTCTCTGTGCCCTAAACAGGGTAAAACAGTTTATGAAATTCTGGCCCTATCAGAATCTGAACCTTTCCTAAATAGGATATGGTTCCATGATTGTTAAACCAAAGAATGTGTATTTTAGTTTTTCTTGTCCTAAACAGGGTCAGAGTTTCAAACCTGCAGTGGCACCCTAAACCCAAACATGGGTTAAGACCCCCCTCCTCCCAGGACAAGAAACATGACAAAAAAGAGATATGTATAGAGGGGTGGGGGAAGTTCCTTTGATGGAAGCAGTGTCTCACTAAAACCAATAACATTTGATCTAAATCCACCATCGAATCACTCCATCAACTGTAACATGTCATCCCCCAACCTCATAAAATTGATGAAGACAAACAGTAAACAGTAAGCAATATGCTGCTGTCTATACCAGTTAATATCCAAAGTGACTGCATTGTGATATAAATGATATTATAGTGGTATTTTGTCCCACCCATGGATCACCTACCACCTCCCTGTTACATACTGCAAACAATAAAGCGATAAAGATGTTTTAACCAAGTTTGCTTGCCCCAGGAGGCTTGGGGAAAGTAATTTTTATATCCTTTATATCAGGGACCACTTTGTCCATAAAAAATAAAAACTATAAAAGTGCAACTCACTCCATTTATTAGTCTCATTTATTTAAAACTGTAAATCCCCAAGGTGATCATAATTAATTTTTGCTATTCATCCTCACAGTAGAAACATGAACAATGAGCTTTACAGTTGTGGTGAATGAGAACCAACACTTCTGTGGGGAAATTCAGTAAAAAAAATGTCTGTCATTTGAAGGACAATAAAATATGCAAATTATTTGGATTAGTTGAAGGTTAAAGTGAATTCCTCAGAACCTCTTGAATTCAATGGTTACCCTCGACAAAGTAACACTTGTTCCACACTTTTGGCCATATTATTCACCCAAGATTGCAGTGGCCTTAAGCTATCAAAAGATGGGATTTGTCCCATTACTTGGTCACCAAGTTTCTTAAGTAGCTTGTTTTCCTTATGAGGCCAATAAGTAACTTTCTTTTGTTCTAAAATATGGTCAGTAATCATTTTACAATATCGACGAGGAGGTTGTTTCGTTTTATTGTGAAAAAGGTTGCAACATGTTTTTCAGGCAAGTAGGACTCCAGAAATGTTACTTCTGCAACGGTGCAAGCCACCTGGAAATTTGCTTGCAGGACATGGCATCCAGTCACATTGTCAAGGGGAGCATTACTCGCTGCAGCCCATGTTTTGACTTCTATTAGAAACGATTTTCCAATTCCATCTGGGCTTGCACCATATCGTGCATCTGATGGGTGATAGAAAAACCCACTTGGAGAAATTGGAACTCCTGAAACAAGTAGCACATTTATTTAATGTTATCATTATTAAGCACTAAAAATACCAAATACATAGACTACTGTTGTAGTCTCAATTTATACTATCACATTGAAATTGTTCAATAATATGAATAATTTGAATGTTATGACACCTAGCTTTCTAGTATTACTGTTAAAGCTCCATTAAGCCCCCCTCTCTAATACTCCCCATCCCCCACCCCAACACACACACTCACACAATCCTACGTAGTCATAAGCCCCTGAGCCCCATAAGTTACTGAGCAAACCTGAAAGGTCTTCAAATAACTCGATTCCCTTTCCCTCAAATTGATGACCTCTTGCGAAGTTCTTAAATATTTTTAGTGCAGCAAGAGATTCATTGTTGTGGTGGATGAAGAACCCAGACCGAGTAAATTCTTTCAGACCATGGAAGCCTAACAAGTATGGAAGCTTGCTTGCATCAATTACTCCAACCCTCAGAGTGCCATTCACTTGATCCCTGATCCACCTTGATATAATTGCACCCATATGGTTCAGGTTTATTCATGTACTTTGGCATTGACAATATTTTCGGTTCTACCTTTGCACTGTGAACAATCTCCAGAAGCTCCTTCATAACCTTTTCATTTACAAACATCAAATCAGATTTTGCATGTGTATGGCTTTCCTTTCATTGGGAGGCATCCTTTTGTTCAGTCAATTTCTCATCATCAATCACAAGATTTGAATGCCAAACATCACCAGTCATCACAGAGACTTGTGGCCTTAAAACTACCTGGTCACATGTTTCACTCATACAATAACTATGATCCTCTAGAACAGCCCTTAGTTTGAAAGCATTGTTGTACCGCAGCTGCATGGAAAGACCAGAAACAATACTGAACTTAGTCAGTGTCTTGAAGAAATGGTTGTGTAGATTCTGGCCATCAATGCCATTTTTAATGACATTTTCAACTTTATTCACATCTCGTTTTAGCCAGTCGCTTTTCAAATCATCACCATTGGCAGGTACATTAACATCCTTTTTTGTTTTTCTTTTACCACCAAGGGACCTTTGTGAAGATTGTGTATCATGAAAGTTTTTCAGAGGTATATGAGACGTACTTGTTGCTTTTCGAGGAGACAGGTTTCCCTTCTTATGCCATGTTTGCATTTCTGTGTCCCTGTTAAGGTTAGAAGTTTTACCTTGTGTTCATTAAAGTGATTTAGGTACATCAAGAGAGCAATTATGTGGCAACAGATTCCACATTTTCCAATTCCACACATGCAGTGACCTTTTATAGGTACATTGTTTTTGAATGAAATGGTAGCTGGACAAGTGACTTCCTGTCCAAAGCTTTTCACAACCAACGCCTTGACAAAAACAGACATACTGTTGTCCTCGACTTGATGGCTTTGACCGTTTCTATTTTCCTAGAAAAAACATCCTCTTGGCTTTTCGGTACTGACCTTTGCGTCCCTGTCGTTTCAAAGATACATAATGAGAAATAGTCTCGGCTGTTACCTTAGGGTAAAAAGAGCTGTCTGTGGTCCACTCGCCAGAAGGTGGTGATATTATTCTTTTATCCATACTCATCTTGAACAAACATCGATGAACAAACTCGTGCTTTGTTCCCGAAGCCTTCAATTTGAGCTTGCTAAGAAGTGCTTTTAGTTCGTCAACGCTCCGTTTTGTGATATCTTCTGTCATCAACTCTGTAAATTTCTTATCTTTGTCCATATTACTCTATTAAAATCGATCTGAATGAGTTTCAAAAATTAATGATTTCTCTATGCTCGCTGTATTAAATCTCTCTGCTGTTGTGCAAATGTCTGGTGGGCACCAAACTTGCCCCAGTCCTTCATGATATAAAATCTGGTTTATAGACAGTAGCCGTTACAGTTCTGAATAGATGCCAGGATGTCGTGAGAAATTTGGATGCGTTATAGAGAGCAGAACCAATACAGGAGACAATGGGCTGAAGTGGGTAACTGCTACTCTGTCTCCAACTCAAGTGAATTTGTTGACCAAGTCACCAATCTAGAAATTCCTGATGACGAAGCCATGGTTTCTTTTGATGTTGTCTCGCTCTTTACTGCCATCCCGGTTAAGAAAGCTTGTGAATACATCAGACAAAACTCGATGAAGATACAACCCTACATCTAAGAACCAGCCTCACTACAGATGATATTGTTTCTCTTCTGGACTTAACGCTCTCAAACATTTACTTTGTTTACAATGACTCCATCTGCAAACACATTCATGGTTGTGCAATGGGCAGCCCTGTTAGCCCTGTTGTTGCAAATCTCTGCATGGAGATAATCGAGGAAGCAGCCATCACTGCCTCCTCAACACGTCCAAAAATCTGGAAGCGTTACATTGACGATAGTTTTGTCACAATAAAGAAACATTCTGTCGCATCCTTTCATGACACTCTTAACTCAATTGACCCAAAGATACCCTTCTTAGACACCCTGGTATCCAGGAACAATGGTGTCATAACCATCGATGTTTACAGGAAATCTACTCACACAGACCAATATCTGGATTTTTATTCACACCACGAAATGAAACACAAGCTGAGTACTGCCACCACTCTCCTGAATTGTGCTTCTAATCTCCCAAGTACCCCCGAGGGAAAAGCGAAAGAATTAATCCACGTCACTGATGCTCTGAAATCGAACAGCTACCCACTATCGGTCATATCTAACATCTTGAAGAAGAAACCACCCCCGGTAATCACACCATCTCCAGAAGAATTGGTAGGAATGTTCTTTGGATGGGTGATCCTTCTGACTTACACGTTGGCTCCGCAGTTTTACCTTACATCAAAGGCCTAACTGAACCTCTCTCAAGACTTCTAAGAAACAATGGAATACAAACTACAAGCAGACCCCTTAAGACATTACAACAAGAGTTTGTTTCTCCAGAATCAAGACCACCCGCGGAACTACAAACAAATGTCGTTTACAAGATCCCATGCATCGATTGTCCATGGAGCTATGTCGGCAAGACTTGTAGATGTTTACAAACAGGGAAGAAAGAACATCTTAGAAATACAAAAACCTGTAAAAGGGTCCCAACGTTGCTTCACATGCCTGGTTAAACGACCATTCCATCGACTTTGACAGTGCACGCATGATTGACAAGGGAAATTTCCGTGTTAGAAAAACTCTGGAATCCTGGCACAGCAATTACGAACCATGCTGACAATAATGTGAAACAAATACCAAGACAATATTCAATTTTATTTTGAACCTCACATTAGCATTTTTACTCACACACAAGCATTTCTATTGTTTTTATTATAATTTTGTTTTTTCACACTTTCCTCAGTATATATTTTAACGTTCACGCTTTCTATCTATTACTTGTTAAAGACTACAGACTGGTAGTCGAAAGCTCGTTTTATACACATTTTTAACCAGAGATCGTTTTTCTATTTTTCAAAATGTCTTATCCTGGTTACTCATCTATTTTTAAATGTAGTTTTTCAATTTTTATGGATCTAGTGTTTGGATCTCAAGTTTTGACCCATGTATAAGTTGAGGGCAAATTTTCGGACTGATTTTTAGGTCTAGAAAGGTCAACCTATACATGGGTAAACACAGCAAGTACTGTTTAAGGTAATTTGCAACAGTTGTCGAGTTGTCATCTTCTCTCAGGTCGGATGTGAAAACAGAAGCAATGTGGATCGGCTCCCTTCAGAACTGTGAAAATGAACCACTTGGAGTCAAATGGAAAACTTGTGTTAAGTTTTTAGGAATTTTCATTACATATGATGTACAGATACTAGTCGAGAAGAATTTTAAGCAAAGGCTAAAAAAATCAGAAATGCAATAAATTTATGGAAATCAAGGCGTTTGTCAGTTCATGGCAAGGTTAACATTATAAAAGCAATTCTTCCAAAACTAATATACCCTAGCTCCGTCTGAAGTTATAAAAGAATTCAACAATTTCGTTTTTCATTTTTCATTTTTTTATGGAACAGGAAAGATAAAGTTATTTGAAGTTCAACGTATGCACCCCATGAAGAGGGTGGCCTCAAAATGATAGATTATGAAACCATAATAAAAGCATTTAGGTTGAGCTGGCTAATGCGCATGAGGACTCGTCAGGTTTCTGGAAGTCTTGCCTCGATTATCTTTTGGACAATGAAGGGGGTCTTTTTCTACTTCAGTGTAATTATGATGTAAATCAGGTAAACATTTCATCCATTTTTTATCAGGATCTATTAGTGTCATGGTCAAATATAAGAGAAATAGTAGATCCAAATAATGTTTATATGGAACAACAAAGAAATCAAAATTGATGGTAAAAGTGTTTTTTACAAGCATTATTTTAATATGAATATTAAATATACAAATGATCTGCTCTTTGACAAGTCAAATATCAAGTCTTTTAATGTTCTCAGAAGTGAGGGATTGATAAGGTCCATTTTTTTATTATGGGCAGGCCTAAGGCAATCTGTTCCTTTAAAGTTGCGTGTTGACATACCCAATTTGATTTCTTGTAAAACAAAAATTGGAAAAGCAAAGTAAATGGGTCAAACTAAAGCAAGAATTTAGCCTTGATGACAATCAAGTTTCAAAGGCATTTCTTTTGCCAGTGAGGGTTGCAAAAGAACCGTATCTACGCTCCTTTCAATAAGGTAAAGGTAAAGTCTGCATACAAGCCAAATGGGCCATCAGGCTGGAGCTTATCCCGGTTTCTGTAGCATGAAGCAACTAGGAGTATTTCTACTCCCCCCTGGATGGGATGCTAGTCCATCGCAGGGTT